CTAAGCCCGGCGCGGGGCCGGTCGGGGCCGGCGGCCGGCCTGCGAGTCGACAGTCGACTCGTGGTCGGCATTCAAGCCGGTTCGCCGTTCGGCCGCGCCCGCCCGTGCCCGCCCGCGCCCCGCACCGAGCTCGACACGCACGCACCCAGCCCGGCACGCTGACGACGTCTTCGCCAGTCGCCGGGCACCACGACCGCCGAGGCTTCGTCCTGCTGCGCGGGAACTCCCCGCCCCACCGGACCGGGTGACCCGGGAAGCTTACCAGCCCAGACCGCCAGGTAGGCCCACGTCCTCGGGCAGCTTGAAGCTTGATAGCTGCTCAGCTCAGCCGGCACAAGCAGGAGAGGAACAGGCCGGCGCCGACTCGCCGCGCGAGGGAATGCCGGCCCGGGATGAGCGCGCGGATGCGAATATTCGCGTGATAAACCACCGTTTGGGGCGCGGACGGCGGCGGTCGCCTGACCCACCCCACCGGGACCCGCGGGTGACCTGACGCAGCAGCGGCCAGCGGCCGGGGTTGTGTCGTTAACCTGTCCGAATGCGACGAATGCGGTGGGTCCCCCCGGGGGCAGCGCGGCGCGGCTGTCCCAGGGGCAGTAAGTGCGTGCCAACTCGCACACAACTGGAAAACAACGCTGTCATTACTTCCATCATCGGGGTCAACGGTCAACGCGTCGCCGCGCGGTCTGTTTTGTTTTTGTTTTTCGGATTGTCCCGCGCGGTTTTTCTCGTGTGACACCGGCGGCCGGCTGCGCGGCGCCCGCCCGTCTCCGCGGATTGGAGCGCTTTACTACTACTTGAGGAGCCTCGCGCGCCGCTTGCGACACGCAGCGCTGGTCGCGCAGTCGTCGCCGCGGACCCGCGCGCGCGAGCCAAAACGGGTCGTAATTACTTCTCTTCTCGTCACGTTTGGCGTCACGCGCGAGGTGACACCCGCGCCGCGTCACAGCACAGCAGCGTCGCCTGGCTCCAGGTCAGTCGGCGAGGAACCAAATAGTACAAGCCGCTCTGTGCGCACGCGCACGCGCGCCGCCGGCTCAGCAGCCTGGCTGTAACGGGACGAGAAACTGGGGACCTGCCCGCCTCAACTGGACCCCATCTCAACTATATCTGCCTTCTTTCTCATCCCGCGGGGAGCACGGTTTTGTCAAAATGACATCAAACAGCGTCAAAATTTTGTCATTTTGACATCAGGTGGTGTCATTTCGATATGAAACTGACGTCGAATCAGCAGACTCTGATATCACTTGACGTCATTTTGACACGAACCCGAGTTCTCTGGGATTCACGTGTACTAATCGATGATGACGTTGTTGTTCTGCGAGAACACTTACACCTCGTCGACGGCGGGGTTCATCGACTCGACTCGATGAGGTGTTGGCCGATGCGTTGCTCTGTACAGTATTATTCATGCCGGGTTCAGCGCCGCTCTGCACTCGTTCGCTTTTTGTCGCGAGAGTGCGTCGTGCGTGCGTGCGTGCACACGGCCCGGCCCCTGGGCCCGGCGCGCCGAGGGGACCGGAGGGGACACCACGGAGCAGGTTAACGAGGGCATGGCCAGGGAAGCGCAAGCCAACTCATGATGCCCATGACGTTGTTGTAAGTACCGCCGCGACGAGACCGGAAAATAACAAGCAATTTGCACACGTACGTACACGTACGTTTCTTCGTTTCTTTTTCATACTCCGACCTCAACCCTTATCAGAAATGGGCCGTCGTCGACGCGCCCGCGACCTTGCTCGACTGCGGCATTGTATATAGGTGTCGAGTGTCGGCAGGACCGTAGGGTCGTAAGGTCATAAGGGCTGCCGGCACGGTCGCTTGCCGCATTGCCCCTCATTTGTTTTACGACGGGTTCAGGAGAGGGGAAGGG